GAGCCATGAGTTGAGCAGGGAGGCCAGCGAAGCACCATCATCGCCAGGATCTCAGAGAGGAAAGAAGAGGTCCAGAAAGTGGTTCGATACGTCCTGTTTCTTTTGTACAAAGGAGGGGCATCGAGCCTTGCAGTGTCCTAAGTTTTTGAAGGACAAGGCTTAAGGGAAGGTTACAGAAGAAAGAGGCAGGATGTATGATAGGTAAGGCAGGAGAGTGGAAAGATCTGCAGATGGGGGTAGGGCTCAGCTATATAGGCAAAACCAGGAGGAGATGAGTGATCAGGACTGAGTTACCTATATGGTTGACATGTTGCATGCAGGATTAGAGTTAGGTTTGGATGACATTCTGTAGACCTGGGTTTTTGTTTGTTGTTGTCAGGCAGTATCGGTTAGGTTTTTGTTGAGTCTACCATCCTAAGGACCGGGACATGGTAGATGAGGCCTGTATATACTTAGGTGGCCTACGCCCGGATCTTCGAGAGACAGACCCAACTTGTACTTTGAGGACGACATCAGTGTGAGTGTGGCTTTGAGTGAGTTGAGTGGGTTACGATTTGGGGACATTTGTGTATGGGGCGTTATGCCCCTGAGTATATGTTGGAGGCATTTCATGTGGGATATTTTATCCCTGAGTGTACATTATATCGAGACCTTTTTTGGGGACTGCTTGTTGTATATTGTGTGGTCATGGCTTGATGGATGATGGCTTGGTGTGAAATATGCGTGAGAAAATGCTTGATGTATCTTGTACTTTGTGAATATGGATGAATGTGAACTGTCTACTCGCCGGTACACTCGTGCGACCCGCCCTTGGGCGGATGAGAGGACCGAATATAAGGCAAGGAAGCGCAGTCTGTTTTGTGAAAGAATGTGGGGATCCTGAATATTCGAATGATGAGTGTTCTATTGATTGAGCTGTGCAGAAGACCCAACAGTTTGTCTTTTTATATGGATCATATAATGAGTGAGGCACCTGTGAATGGAAAGGTTGTCCATTATCTATTTGGAAGACGCACCTTCAGAGAGGGAAAATGTGTTAAAGAAAAGGTCGCGAGAGAGTTCATCCTAGTGAGAGAGGGATGACTGAGAGACCTATTAAAAGTAAGACCTCCTCTATAAGTAAGGTGGTTAAATAGATTGATAAATGGATGGTTGACTTTGATTAATAAAAGACTGACGAGAGGGACCAAATTTTGTTTGACTATTGGTGGAATTTTTGGAATGTCGTAAAAGGTGTGTTTTAAGAGATGTCATCAAGATGCGTGACTTTCTTGCTCTAATCAAGCTGGGAGGTCACGACCTTGTGAATCAGGCAGTGATTTTGTTTTGTGATTGTGGAGAGGTTGTCGTGCCTCCTCTGTGTTGTCCCACAGAGGAACTGGTAAATACCTCTTATGTGCGACATGTCTATGCGTAGTTCCGTAGTAGGCTTGTATTGTTGCAACACACCGTCTGACCACTTGTGCTAATCTTAGACATTTATAAGAAGACCCAACTAGGGTTATAACTAGCATCACTAAGGTGCAACCCTTGGTGTCGACCGCTGTTTCGCACAACCTGAGCAGAGGGTCTGCGTCTGGCCAAGGGGGTAAAGACTTAAAGGGGCGTGAACGCGTAGGAGGGTTTTACTCCTGCGGAGAGGCGTGAGATAAGAGTCGAGTCATACGAGTCTTTTGAGGAAGTCCTGATTGAATGCTTATGAAGAACAGCCTATCGTGGCGCAACCCGCGAAGGCACTACCGAAATAACAATGCGGTGGGTCGTAGATCTGGAATGATCACCCAGACTATGGTGGGCCAAGATGGAGACCTGATCCTCCTGTACTAGACTGCAAGAAAGCTTATGTGAGAGTCTATGTGGTACGGCTACGTGTGATAATGTGAGGGTTTTTTAGAGGAAGGCGAGAGAATGCCTTCGAAGGTCTCGGTTAGGGCCCGCGCCCCTAGTCACGACCTGGTTTCAAGGGAAAGGGCTAGGGGCACACAACGGGAAGTCGGCGGTTGTCTAAGGCACAGGGAAGAGGACGGTGAGAGATACAATGGAGCTTATGCTGTAGTACAGTGAGGAGTATCCCGACGTCCGAGTGTCAGGGCGACGGAGACCCAGGTTAGAATCCTGACAGCATAAAGTTGTGTTTGGCATGGATTATTGGAGGCTTCAACCCTGGGTTTGTCGGTTAATCTGATTGGTACCCTGCTCGTCAGCATTTTGGGATTGTGGTTGAATTGATAGCTTTTGATCCTGCGAAGCGACGCGGACGTCGCTTAATATGGTCCGGTAAGCTGTCGGTGCGAATACCCTTACAAGGGTATCCGCCCTGGTCTTTGCAAACGACAGAAAACAGTTTGGTTTAAAGTTTAAGTATGTCGTGCCAGACACGGCCGCATCTGTAATTTATGTTGACTCGGTGGTTGACTAGAGTAAAGAGTGCGTGGGCGCGGGAGTTGAGGCGCGCGTGATTTTCCTTTCTTTTGGTTACACTGGCAGACGTGGCGTTGATTTTGGTCAGTATATGTTACTTTTGTTTTGATTCAACTGATTAGCCATGAGTACCTTGTTTCTTTGGTTCCGCGGGGTGCGATGGATGGTTCACTGAGCCGGTATGAGCTTACGAGAAAATCCAGATGATGGGACCTGATGGATTTGGCTAAGGATGAGTAGTCGTGGCGAGGCCCGTAGGCCGACGTAAGTTTTTGGGTAGTCCCTTGTGCAAGTATGGGCCGGGAAAGTGGTATAGGGCGTTTCCTTGCCCCAAGGGCCGTGCACTACCTCTCTATAAGGCATGTCAGGCCTGCTGGTACCAAGCTGGGGCTTAGCCCTATACGTTACGGCACTGAACTAATACGCGGCAGACGCAGGGATCGAGGCCAACGGCGTGCGGCAAGGGAGCGGAGGAGCGCGACGGAAAGGCTCGAGGGGTCGATGGGCCGGTAGGACTATCCCGCTCGCCTTAGCAGGCAGGAGAAAGTGGTAGGCATAGGTTTTTGATGATGGCGAACAAGATTTCGGCGTTAGTTTTAGTAAAGAGTTAGTGGGTTAGGAGGTCAGTAGAAAAGTTATTGCGCAAGGTACGGGGAACGAACTATGGGAGAAGTGGAAAAGTTAGATACCTCGCTCAATTCTTGATGAAATCGAGCGAAGTAAAAGGTGAAACTGGGATTTGGGATATCGGCGAGACGAACCGAAAGGTTGAGCTGTGGCGGTAGCAGCGGGTGGGCAGGAAGGCGCAGCGGCTGGCTAAGTGGGAGATGTGGCTGATCAAGCTCACCCCGTCGATGGCACAGTAGCGGGGAGCTAATCGAGAAGTTGGTGACTTACCTGTTCACCGGTGGGTCCGAGCGGGAGTGCCCGGCAGGAAAGCAGGGGATGTTTTCACCTTGTCAACGGATGGCAACAACAGATTTGGGGCGTTTAGCTRGTGATTCCGGCAGCAGAGGAAYGAAGGCTGGKAGGGAACAGCAGCAAAGTGACAGCGTATCCCTCCGTATTTAGCGGAAGATTCATCCMGCTCGCCSATRCTATTGGYGGAAGAAGYGTAAAGGCAGCCGCTGGAGTGTCGAATTGCCCGCTGGTTGGTGCGTGTACTGGAGGGGCACTCGTTCGGTCGTACTCATCCTATCGAAAGAGCGGAGGCATGAGGCCAAGTTTGCGACTGAGGGTTTAGCTATGGGCTGTGATACAGGTTTTGCCGGCCATTGAAGCAGCAAAAGGGGGGGGGTCAGTATTGCAGTCTGGGAATTCGTCAAAAGAGTTGATCCAGCGGTTTGACCACGATTGGCCTCAAGGGTTACGTTGTTGAGGTTGGTGGCAGTCTGCCACGGCCTGTGCGCAGGCACTGTAGTTGATGCCGGGGTGCGGACTGTGCTTGACCAACTGTGAGAGGGCTGGCACCGATTACTGAGGTGCTGCCGTCACCACTGTTGACTACGGTGCGTTGTTGTCGGCCACAGCCGACCGGTCGATGGCCATTGNAGCTACCCCGGTCCCACGAGTGGTGGGTGTGGCCCCGGGGGGGGTCCGGGGTGGGGCATAAAACCCCATTTTTGGGGTTTAGCCCATGTGGTGCGCGCTTTCGCTGCGCACCCCCCACTATTTTTTTTATTTTTTTTTGAATTATTTTTTTTTGCGGGGGGGTCTGGAGCCGGGGTTGGGGGTGCCCACCCCCGGAACCCCGGAACCCCGCCGGGGCCCCGGGGCCGGGGCTCGACAACCCTGGGGAGGAGTGGACGCACAAGAATACATGAAGGAGAGTCTCGGCATGGCACTCCGAAGTATGCGTACTGAAAGGAACGACGGTCCCCGCGAGAATGAAAGTCAGCCTCTTGGGCCTCTCGACCAACGATGGGGAGGAGGACCCCCGGGTTGGCGGAACGAACCCGGTAACCAAGAAAACTGGAGAAACGACCAAGAAGCTGGAGGGAATCGGGTCTCGGAATGGGGAAATTCCCATTGGAAGGATGCAAGGGATGGAAGATGGGGAGACCCTCCCCAACCTAGGGGTGCGGGGACTCATCCCGAGGTGAGTCAGGCGAGGACGCCGCAGCCTCCCGCCCCTTCCGTGACCATGGGAGCGGCACCACAAGTGACCCCTCGCCCTAGAAATCCGCTGCCTCGAAGCGGGTGTGTCTATTGCAACGAAGATGGTCACATCAAGCGGGAGTGCCCTTACCTTATGGAAACCCTGAGGTTGGGAGTGGTAAAATTAAATAAGAACAAGTGGGTAGTTTGGGGGGATGATGGAGAGGCGGTCTCCTTCTATCCCTCGATGAAGGTAAATGCGGATAAAAGGATAGCCCTCCAAGAGGCAAGATTGGGGAAGAAGCCCGAGGTTGGGGGAACCTCCAACTCATCCAGCGTCCAAATGATGGAGGCACCAGGAGGCGTGACCATAAGGGAGCCCCAGGTGTCGAGCATCAAATTCGTTGAGACCAAGCCCGAAGAAGAGGGGCCTTGTCTACAAGATGGACCCAAGTTGGGGCCGGGCCGTCTAAGAGCAAGGAGATCGCAACAGAAATCGGAGGGAGGAGGAGTGGTGACGACGACCAACCAATGATCGACGCCAAAGTCACGGAAGAAAAGAAGGGGAAAGAGCCCATGTCAACTACATCGCCTAGGAAGAAGAGACCAAAAAAGTTCGAGATGAAGTGCACCTTGGACGAGATAGACACGGTCGCCCCCTTGCGAAGGACTCTAATGCAACCAATGCAATGCACTCTCCTAGAGTATTTGGCAGCTAGCAAGAGCGCTAGGAACGAACTCCTGAGCATCACCAAGAAGGTGAGGATTCCGCCCGCGGGACGGCCTACAGGTCCTGGGGATGGACCCGCCAAGGAGGAGGTGCAGTCTTCTCGAATTACGATGGAAGAACTGCCGGCTAGTTTCTTCTTGGAAGACGAGGGTAAGAAATTTTATGTGCTTGGGAGTGGCCAGCTCCAAGCCGTGGTGAGTGGGAAGAAGATGAGGGGCCTAGTGGACAATGGGTCCGAATCTACCGTGTGTAGGGACTCTATCGCAAAGGAATTAGGGCTGGAGGTGGATAGAGGGGTGTCCATGTCCATGGTCGTTGCGGACAACAAGCTCCAACCGGCGGAAGGGGTGTGTCACAACCCCTTGATTGAGGTCGAAGGGGTGGAAGTTACGGCTTCGATTTTCTCGGTGAAGGAGTGTTCTTCCGAGTTGATACTCGGGAGAACTTGGCTAAGCGCAGTGCACGCCACCACGGTCGACCTTCCCGACGAAGTCAGACCGTATCGATCCAAAGTCCGGACGGGATCCAAGTGGTTCTCAAGATGGTGGATGCTCAAGATGAGCGGAACCGAACTAGTATTCGGAGGAGGAAGGAAGCCCAGTCACGAGTGTGTCGGGTCCGGTAAGAAGAATCGCCCTTTGCCGACAAAGAACTCCCGGGGGACAGGGCGGACGTCGAGCATGTTGGGGGATGAATTATAATCAATGGGGTAGGGTACGCAAAAGACGAGGAGGAGGAAGAATTCGGTGGGTGCGTAAGGCTGTCTTTTTTGGAGGAATCCCCCTAGCCGGCGGAATCAAGAAGCATAAAACCGTGGCGGAAAAATTAAAGCCCGCTGCGGTCAGCCGGGATAGAACGGGGGAAACCTCGATATCGGAAGAAGATCGTCGATATCATCAGGAAGCGGAAGAAAACCGAAGGGCAGAGAATTACTGTCGACAGGCTAGCGAAGATGGACATAGGGGATGAGAACCTCACCGAACGAGAGAAGGAGTATGTGGCTATGACTCTAAGGGATTGCGACAAGGCCATAGCCTTTGATGACTCGGAAAGAGGAAGGATCGACCCAAGGTACGCCAAGCCCGCCTGGATCCACACGATCCCCCACGTGCCTTGGAAAGATAGGCCTCCGTTGAAGTATGCGCAAAAAGAGGAGGAGATATTCATCAAAGAAAAAATTAAAACGTTTGTTGCGGAACCTTGTGAAAGCGCCTACTCTAACAAGTGGTTCTTTTTTAGAAAAGGAGGTAGCAACAAATTGAGGTGGATCCAAAATCTCCAAAGGACCAACGTGGTCACCATAAGGGATGTAGGGTCTATACCTGAGGCTGATCTACTCGCGGAAGGATCGGCGGGTCGTTCGATTTACTCGATCTGCGATCTCTTCTCGGGCTATGATGAGATCCCGTTGGACTATAGGGATAGATATATGACCGCAATGCACATGCCTCGGGGGTTAGTTCAAATGATGGTAGTACCCATGGGATAGACCAATGGAGTGGTCGTATTCCAAAGGGCCATGATCGTGGTCCTCCAGGAATTCATAACGGACAAAGTGGAAGTTTTCCTTGACGACTTTCTGATAAAAGGGTCAGTCCAAAGGGATGAGACGGAGGTCTTTCCTGGCGTGAGAAAGTTTGTGGTAGATCACGTGGTGGACGTAAAGGAAGTCCTTACGAAATTAGAGGATGCCAACCTTACCGTGAGCGGGACTAAGATTCGCTGGGGAGTATCGTCAATCAAGATATTGGGTTTTATCTGCGACAAGGATGGGCGGAGACCCGACCTCGCGAAACTAGAAAAGTTGATGACCAGGCCGTCACCACTAAAATCGATCACGGAGGTTAAACAATTTTTAGGGGTGGTGGGCTATTGGAGAATCTTTATAAGAGCCTACAGCAAGAAGGTGGAGCCATTTAGGCGACTGCTTAGGAAAATAGAGAGTAGGGTCTGGGGAGAGGAACAGGTTGAGGCCACGAAAACCCTTAAAGAGGAATTATGCGAAGGGGGACAAGTCCTAGGTGTCCCGTTCTTCGAGGACGAGGAGAACCGGCCATTTATAATTTCTACGAACGCGGGGCCGTGTTCCGTAGGAGGACTTTTGTCGTAAAAGGATCGAGAAGGGAAAGAGAGACCCCTTCGATTTGAGAGTCGGGCCTTGAATCCCACCGAAAGATACAATAGCCAATTTAAGAAAGAAGTACTGGGAGTATTGCACTGCCTAAAAACCTTCCGCCACTACATCTACGGGAGGCGGTTCCTCCTAAGAGTGGACCCGACCGTGGTAGCTGTTGTCCTTCAAAAGGATTTCTCTCTAACCGATCCAACTATCGCTAGGTGGATAATCCATATCAGGCTCTACGATTACAGGGCCGAGAGGATCTCCGGGGCCAAGAATCAAGTCACGGACGGCTTGTCCAGGCTTCCCATCCGAGAGGAGGATTATCCAAAATTGCAGGAGGCAACGCAAGCAATGACCAAGAAAGAGGTAATCCAAGTCACCGCTAACAAGGCGCAAATAGCAGTGGTCATTCGAGAGGAAGACGAAGGCCCTAGGACGTTCCTCGCTAACCTTTACGATGGTAAATACCGAGATATAGGGTTGTACCTAGCAGGACGGGAAGGAGGCACCAATATAGTCAAAAATCATGAGCTCGGGTATTGCTTACGAGGAGGACACCTCTTTAAGAGGCCCACCAAGTTTGCCATTCCAATGAGGGTCCTTTGTGATCCGGAAGAGAGGAAGGCGGTCGTAGAAGAATTACACGATGGGATCGTCGGCGGACACCGAGGAGTGAAAGGAACGTTTGATAAAGTTCGACGGCTTTACTGGTGGGACGGGCAGTATAGTGAGGTCGAAAAATATTGTTCGACCTGTGAGACTTGCCAAAAGAGGGTGACGGTTCGCTATAAGGAGCCCCTGGTTCCTTTGCTCCCCACCGTGTCGGGCAAGAAGGTCCATATTGACCTAGTTACCATGCCTAAAGGAGTCGGCGGGCTTCGGTACATCGTTAATGCCCGCGATGACCTCACCGGGTTCATAGAAGCTAAGGCCCTCAAGACGAAGACAGTGGAGGAAATGAGAGATTTTCTCCTAGAATACATCGCGAGTTACGGGTGTGTCGGGAAGATAGTCATGGATAAGGGGTCCGAGTTCTCGAGCCAAAAGGTCAAGGAAATATTAGAAAAGGCAGGGATCAAAGTGGCCTATACAACCGCCTACCACCCCCAAAGCAACGCTCTGGTCGAGAGAGGGCACCAAACGCTTGTGGATGCCTTAGCCAAGTGGTGCAAGGGGCGAGAAGAATAATGGTCAAGATATTTGCGCTATGCGGTTTGGGCTGACAACATCACGGTCAAATCAAGTACGGGGTATCCTCCTTACAACCTTCGGTTCGGTAGATATTGCCCCCTGCCCATCGAGTTCCACGTTGACACCTGGACGAGTGTCTCGTGGAAGACCAACATGACGAGGGGAGAACTGTTAGAAGCGAGGATACAACAAATAGTCGAGAATCTTGACGCAGGACTTGCCAAGGCAGGGAGAAATGTCGAAAAGGAGAGGACGAAAGGAAAAGAAAGGTGGGACAAAAATTTGCGGGTCCGACGAAAGCCAATAGGGCCTAGTGACCTCGTCCTCATGTACGACTCATCACTAGAAAAGATGTGGAGCAGGAAGTTAGCCAACCAGTGGATGGGGCCGTACCGGGTCCTAAAGAGATTAGATGGGGGAGCATACCTTCTCGCCGAATTAGATGGCACTAGGTTATGGGACCCTATCGCGGGGGCTTGCCTCAAACTTTTCCGATGGAGAGGGACCCTTGGAGAGAATCCCAAAGGAAAAGGAAAGGAAACGGTCGCCCCGGAGGTGACCGTCACCCTTGAGAAGGGAGAGACTTCAAAGTAGGGGGCCACATCACGACCACCTAAGAAAGGGTATGGCGTTCGAAAACCTCCCTTGCCAAAGATCCCTAGAAGGAAGAAACGGTCGAGGGAAGATGACGGGGATACTGACCACGTAGGTAAGCGCAGGTTGAGAGAAAGGAGGAGTGCTTCGAGGAAAGCTTTGAGAGTCAAACGCGAGAGAAAAGAGAGGAGACGAAGGAGAGAGAGGCGAGAGTCCTTGGGGAGAGGGGAGGTTGTACCATAGCTAGGAAAACCTTGCATCGTAGTTCCGAAGAGAGAAAACTATGGGGTGGGTTATACCATAATTATGCAATAGGAACCAAGAAAGTCAGACTTGTGTCATAGTTCTAGGATAGAGGTGAACGTAATCAGATTAAAGGGGGGAGTAATGCTAAACATGGAAAAGAAAAAATCCAAAACAAGGAAAAGAGAGAGGGATCATTGGGTGAAGAAAAACACCTGGGGAAAAAGGGGGGGCTACAAAGGGGCTCACCAGGGACGGCGAGAATTGGGGTGTGGCCTGGTTGTCAGGTGGTTGCCTACCAGTCGAAAGTACTCTCTCTTCACCGAGCATTTTTTTTTGGCATGTTTTTCCTTAATTTGGTGTGTTTGTATGCACGCACGTATGAGGCCTGAGGGTTTTGGGAAAAATCTTTGGGTTTTTGGGGTTTATACTGATATTTGAATAAGCAAAGATGAAGGCGGCCAACGGAAAGCGACAAGCGGGGTCATGCGGACGACAAATCGGAGTTTTTAAGGCCACACCTGGGAGGCCGGGAAAAATAGTGGACCTTGGATCGATACATCGAAGAGCAAAAAAAAAAGGGGGGGGCAGGAAAGATCCGGACTTTGCCTATGCCCTGCGTTTGGGTTAAGACGGGCGCGGACCAGCGCATTGATTGTACGTGGACAAGGGGCAGCGGCCCGGAAGATGAGGTGATCGGGGTTCAGAAAGCCTTAGCCGCAATCGCTGGGATAGGCACGGGGCCAAGGTAACCAACGTGAGTGGTTGGTCGACAGCAAGGCGATGAACCAGGTTTGAAGCGAGCGCCTTGGCGGACATCTCCGGTGTGTGCGATACCCGACAAGGTTAGCTAGGGAGATCAAATCGACAATGTAGTGGGAGAATCGGCTCAATGATCGGTTGGTGGGATCTGCCTCCGGACATTCGCCTGTGAGGTGACCTGGTCTGCCTTGCGGGCAATCAAAGATGGCATAGAGGCCGCCGTATGGTAGTGAGCGCCGCTCGATCTGCCAGTTCCGAATTGGAGCATGACGATGGGCGGATGGGTAGCGTCAGTATCGGTATGGGGCGCACGGTTGGCCGAAATGAAGGGGCTCGAAGACAAACGAAAATTGCAAGCCGCTGAGGTATGGTTGCGACCATAACAGGGGTAGAACCTTACAACTCCTCTCTAGCTTCGACTGCAGGTGCAAGCGAGAAGAGGCAATTCGTAGGAAGGGGGTGTCTCCCAGCGATCCCTGAAACACGAATAGGAAAGAAGGGGTTGGGCCCCTGGTGATCGAATTCCAGCCCTGAATAGTGGGAGCTGCCAAGTTCACAAAAAATTGGGAAGAAAAAGAGGGAAGGAGAAGTTGGCCACTTGCTACCATGGAGGTACTTGACAATTGAGGCTACGCTGCGGCTGGGGACCCCGAGTTGTACGCTGCGTAAAAATAATTTTTTGTTTTTCAGGAACGACTCCCAAGCTAGAGCGCGGTGCATTTCTTGATGAGGGGGGAAGAGACTCGGGGAACGACGCAGCAGGAGGGCGGGCTCCAACAGCCAGCCATCGGGGACAGTTATAACCGATTCTTGAAGCAGGGGCAGAACGCACGCAGTGGAAGTGTGGGCCCTTCTCAGGTTCTTGGTAACTGTCGGATGAGCAAGCGGTCGAGGGGAGCAGT